AAAGCATATTGTGGTTTTATGGCACTACAATCTGTATATTCTAACTGCACAGTGTACATGTGTCATAGCTGTAAACTGTCTGTGAAGCACATCAGTTTAAATGCTCTGTACCACTGCAGCTATATTAAACTGTATCGTCCCAGTCAAATAATATTCAATTCAGATTTAATTAAAAGCGTTCCAGCTTCTCGTCCTCATTTTCAGAGGCCTTGTCGAGGATAATGTGCAATTCTGTGACTTTCTACTGTGTCAAAAAAGACATTTGTTAACTTAGCCGTCAGAGAGAGATAACACTTTTATTGCGAGATGTTACTTAAGAGTTTAACAAGTCAAGCAGATAAACCAATTCCTGAATATATTTGAGTGTTACAGAACGGGAATGTGCAATTTACCAGCAGATTTTGTCTTGTTCAGTGAATGTGACAATTTCTGGTGTGACAGCAGGGTAATCTTTTTTTTTTCCTGATTGTAAATCTATAAAACAAAAGAATAAAACTGCGACACAGAAATAAAAAAAACCCCCACACTGTTTTTCATTACGTTTTACAGCGAGCGGTATTTTTTTTAACAATACTATCCGGAGTTACAAATAAAGGATCGAGGCATATGATGTGACAAATGACACAATCACAGGTTTGGTGTAAATTCTTGCACCTTTAACCATTTTTATGCGTGTAAAGGTGTCGCGCCACCATATTGCGGCGGTTTATGTATCTCTCGCCGCATTATTTACGGATCACGCTTGGATCGTGTGGAAAGTTGAGTGCGAGTCACGAGGAAGCTTTCACATCCGCGCTCTTTATTTTAAAGGTGTCTGCAAACCTCCAGGGTTATTTTAGAGTTTTAAAAGCTGTTGTTTTGGCCGTAAAGAACAGGAGCTTTGTTATTTCCTGTTGTATTAGTCTACAAAAAAAGCAATTAAACAGCATTTTTTAATGATAATTTAGGTGCATTTAGGAGGGCATGTGTTGTTTTTCTTCTACAAAATGCATCTTGTCTTGTCTAAGCTGAGCAAACTGAAGCATGTATTCACACGCAGGAACGAAACACGTCCATCATCGCTGCCCTTCGGTCGCTCTTTAAGAAAAAGCTTTGAAAAGCTTTAATATCCACAGTGTGTTTCTGTGTGTTTGTGTATCCTGAGGAGCAGCTGTGTGAAAACAGATGCCTCCAGTCACTCCGTGGTCAAACTGTCACACACGCTGCATGTCTGTGCAGATGACCGCGGCCGCCGCGTACGGTGGAGTCAGCGTCAGTGAGTAATAACTCGCCACAGTCGCCAAGTGCTCGCTGCGAGGGAATCGCTGGATTCGTTGGGTTTCTCTCCATAGTATAATATTGTAAGGTCGCGAACTTGTTATGTGGAGTGTCCTGAGATGACTCGCGCCATCTAAATAAAACTGAAGTGAAATAACAGAGAAGCAGCTTATTGCTGCTGCATGACTGCGCTCCGGCAGCCGGTCTGAGAGGCAAAAACTACCTCAACCTATATTCAATTTTGATTAAATTAAAATATGTTTGATGAACAGGTTGACATCTGCTGTGTGTACATGTTTTACAAATAATAGTGTCTGCTTCGAAACTGATGTTTGTCCTCACATTTCTGGGTCTATTATCCAACTCAGTCCAGTGTGAAATGTTTGTTTTATCTGTATTTTAATGCTGTTTCATCTGATTCAGAATGATAACATCTGTATTTGGATAGTTATTTATGTTTTTCCTTCACAAAGTTATGATTTTAACATGTCTTTTATTTGAGTTGATTCATTTGAGCCTCTTCTCTTGGATTTTATGGCTTGTGCAGTTATAGATCCACGAGTGGGATGTTTGCCATCTCACGCTGTATTTTTTTAATAGGTTGCTTATGGAACGTGCACTTATATGAATGTGTGAGCGCTCAGCTGAGAGGTTGTGCGCTGCTGACTGGAGAGCATTCTGTGTTGAACAAATATTAGCAAAATAACTGATGACAAAACACATTAGGAAGTGCATTGATTGCACAAACAGGGGACATCTTCACTACTTCAGATTGCAGCAACTCGACAAGTGCACAGTAAGTAATAAAAAGCCCTCTAAATGTGCAGTTTCTATATATACCATACAGGCATTTGTGTCTAACTGAATGAACAAATGAATTACATTTATTTACTTTATGCTGTCGAAGAGCAGTAAAAAAATGTGGTGTGGATTCAGTATGTTCATGTTATTTGACTCGAGTGATTCGATATTTTGTTATTGTAGTGATTTTGGTATTGGTTTATTTAATATAAATTCATTTTAAGACCAATACATACGCTGGATAAGACGTGGGAATAAAAAGTAACTGGATTTATTTCCATTGAATAAGGGGTGCATTTGTGTTTCTTGGAGTGGCGTGTCTTGATAAACCTTAGAGCGAAGGTGTCAATAAATACATTAAAAATAATACGCAAGGTTTAATAATTCCTAAGTCCTAAAGTGGTGTGGTTTTAAATGTTATTGTCCTGTAACATTTACTGACTGTGTGGGCTAAAATGCGCATTTCTCCTTGACAAAAATCCACTACAATCAGGTCCACAAACTCATTAAAATGTGCAGGATCAGTGTATGTAAAGGGAAGCGGCATTAGGATGTGCTCCACTAAAGAGAGCTTCTCCTCAGGAATCACAGTTAATCGACGCGCTGAGGACTTATGGTGGCAAACGACAATGAACAGTCGTTTCACTGACAACAAGGACCTCGGAAAAAAACAATAAATATACATGCACACCTTCGAGTGGGCTTGATGAGAGCGTCTCCATATGCTCGCGTTAGTGTTCTACCGGAGGGGATTCCCCTGGAGGGTGTATTTTTGAGTGCTTGTGAGAGTGCTGAGTGGGCGCTCCTCTGAGCGTGTAGGTGAAGGATACAGAAAATATATATGCTAAACATAGTGTTTTACCTTTATCTGGCGCTGAGAGGTTGGGGTCACTCCTGGGTAAAGTGGTATCGCCTATCTGATGAGCAGGAGCTCTCTGCACAAAGAAGAAATTACTGTCAAACACACACACAGAGCTCGGAACTGCGCATTTGAGGTGTAACATTTATACAATATTGGAAGGTAAATACAAACATAGTGTAAAACAAGTTCAATAGACTGAAGGAGACCGTGGGTGTAGAATTCTCACATTACAGCAGGTGATCAGTATTTCTAATAATCAATATTCCATCAGCAGCTAATATTCCATTGCTCTCTGCTTAGAAATAACTGCCGGACCCTCTGAACATCAATCCCTCTGTCAAAGCATTTCAAACTGGGTAAAAAAAGGCAGGTGAACTCTGCCGAATAAGGCCCGCACTGACCGCGGGAGACGAATGGCCTCCAAAAAGCAAACGCATTATTTTTCTGTTAGCGTCGCCTTTGTCGGTGCGTATGGAGTGTGTGATTGTGTTACATACTGTCCTTCAGCCAGAAAAAAGTAGCTGCAATATCATGTTGTTCTTGTCGGCTCTTGTTATTGTGGTAACATTAGCTTGGTGTCCAGGAATGTTTGTTTTTTTTTTCTTTCCTCCTGCTGGAATGAGTCTGGACTGTCTGACTTTAATAAAACATCAGTAACATCAGCTGCTCTTGAAAAACTGCACTTCTCAGCTACAAAAGGCCTTACGGCATGTGCCCTCATCCAGGAGCCTTTTTTTTTTTTTTTGTTCCCCCCTCTCAGACAGAAGTCACCCATTGAGATATACTATACATTACAGGGGTGACCTTGTTTGCTGCCCCGGTATGTATCTTGCAGGCAGTTGCAGCCCTGGACAAATATAGACGTGCTTTTTTATTTTGTCTTTATGTTTGAATCCAGTAACCGCGTGCTCAGGACGACAGGTGGAGCGGTGAGGTAGTTCAACCATCTGCAAATGAGAGAAAAAAGACGGTTCCTCTTCCATTACCTTCCTACAGGTCAGAGGAATCCATCTGTTCATCTGAGCGTCTTACCTCGCTCAGCTTTGAATTCTTCCTCCTCATCCTGAATGTTACTAAAACTCCAGACAATGGAGCGATCCTACAAGTCAACCTCGAGGCCAAAATTTCAACTCGGGGGACAAGACACAGCGCCGTAGTTCATCCAAAACATTGACCCAGAATTCGAAAGTGAAGTGATTTCAACTGCAGATTATGTTATCGATTTTCTCAACACTGTAATCTTAAGCTTTAGCCCACCGTTAGCGGTGCATGAAGCAGGATTTCAAGCTCGGTGGCTGGATGCCACTTGTAGAAATCCACCATTGGCGATGTAGTTAAGTTCTCACCTCATGTTGTCATGTATATAAAGACTTTGACTTTTTTCAGCAAGGAATATCTTATTTCTACCATTGTTCATGCTGTAAGTTAATGTTTGTTCTACTAATTATACAACTTAACTGCATTCTCATTTAGGCTTCAAAAGAAGTATATTTTCTGAAATCACAGAAAAGGCGTCCAGTTCTAAGTCGCCACCAAGTCTGCATAAGGAGGCAGGTAGGAAGTGTCCGTCTAGAAACATATCGCATTTGTTGTTTAGGTTGGGCTGCCTAAATTCAGGAGAATATTCCGCTTTAACAGACACTTACACAATAATAACGACTTGTTAGAGGCTTGGTTAGGTTGAGGCATCAAAATTACCTGGATATGTTTAGGAGTTTGTCATTGTTTGGGTTAAAAGACGACCCTTTCACAACCTTTTTGAAGCTGATTTTCTGGTTGATTAGGGTGATAAAAAACCCACCACAACTAAAATCTGATTGGTTGGTCTGAAAGCAGCGACAGCGAAGCAATAAAATAAATAGTGACGATACGTCGATTTCAAACGTATTCATGATATGTTACAAACAAACAGAAGAAAATGCATTTCCCTCAAAAACGCAATTGATTTTGCAGTTCAGAAGATAATTTTTCGGAGGCAGGGCTGAACTTTGAGTCACCTCCCATTATCTGTAGACAAAATTAATGGGAATTTTACTACCAGATCAGCTTCCCTATAACTGTATTTTTCTCCTTGAAGGGCGGCAATATGCCAAAGGCCAAAACGAAGCTGCACATGAAACTAAAAAAAAATGTATATTATTGATTTTTGCCTTTAACCTGTTATGCTGCTGTTTTGTTTTTTGTTTTTTGTTTGGTAAACCACCTGTAAAACTACCTACGTAAGCGCTAGATACGTTAGCCATGTTTCTATATAATGGTCAAGCAAATGTAAAGAGAACTTTGGAAATTCTGCAAAAATCTTTCAGAAAACAAATCGCAATTTAACTGTTTTGGAGGGAATAAACTCGTAGAACGTGGCAGTATGGGCTGAGATAGAGTAGAAGGAGTAGAGGTTGTGAATGGAAAACTAAACTAGCTGTTTGCCAACTGCCAGACTTCTTGTTTCTTGTTTATTAGGATCCCCATTAGCACCAGCATAAGCATCGGCTATTCGACTCCCTCAAAGAAAAAGAAACAAACAAAACCTGTCGACTGAACTGAAAAATGGAAAGGGGTGTTTTTGGGTAGTATTTCCTGTCAGCTGGTATTAGCGATGTTTCACGCTGTACAGAGTCTCTAGAAGCACAGCTGATCAGAAACGCTTTGGTCAAGGTATTTCCATCTCCTACGAAGCGCATCAACTCTTTCGAAAAAGGTTTTTTTTTTTTCCTGATTTTTGCCATTTCCATTAACCTTTTCTAATACGATAATTCAAAACGAAAATAAATATACTTTACAGCAATACAACCACTGTTGAACTTTCCACGGAGATGCTTCCTGATTGTTTGGTTTTTCTTCTGTCACTGAAAGGTCAAAGACTCATTTGTGTGTCTTATTTTTTTTCCTCCACCCACTTTTCTCCGTGTGTACACAGCTTTGAACATCATTATTCGAACACCTCTTGTTTTCTTTACAGACTCGACACAACAAGACATGGATAATATTACATACATATTTACAAGACATAAAAAGTCATAATAATTTCATACATGCAATATTTTTGAAATATTGAAAAAATCTGATATATTGAATGTGTAAAACCGTAAAAAGTAGATGAAAAACAAGATGCTGGAATCACCCTTTTTTGTGCATAAGCTGTAAATGTAAAGTCAACATATAATCAAAACTAAATTACACTCAACAAGGCTGCGATAAAGAGAAATGTGAGATGATGAGAGGAAGCCATTTTGCTGCTTAATGAAGAGGGACGCAGCAAAAGTCAATGCTGATCAGCAAAACAGCATCCATTACAAACAAAAATGCACTCGTCAAAGTGGACTAATAGTTATTTCTGATGCTGCAAATATGCATTTGGTTTAATGCTGCGTATTTAATATGACAATTTAGATGCATTCTTTCCTGCAGCGATGCAATATGCACTATTTCTACCACTGAACCATTCGTCCAAGTCATATTACGTCTTTAAATTCAGATAAATGTGCTTGTGTGTGCTAACCTGTGCGGGGTCGAGGGGGTTGGGGAAGATGGCGCTGACCGGCCTCTCTCGTGGCGACAGGCAGGCGTTTTCTCTGGAATGCTTGTGTTTCTCTGCCATTTGAGGTGAACCTAGGACGGACAGCATGAGACGTTATAGCGGTGCCGGTGGCGGCGGCGGCGGCACACATACACCCACAGGAGCATGCGCGAGACACATAAGGGACCAAAACAGCAGCAAGGTGTTAGGCTATTACCCGCAAATACTGGCAATCAGGAAAGGCCAATCTCTCTTTCTCCCTCCAAGCCTCTCTGCCATTCTTTCAGCCTCACTAGCTCCACAACATGATAAATGGCCTGGCCCCTCCTACACTCCCCTCCTCCTCCTCCACCTTACTCACTCCCTCCCTCCCTCCCTCGCCTCCTCCGTTACACTGGACAACGTGTGCTACGACTCGACACGGTAACATTATGTAACGCGGCCAACGGAGATAAAGCCCACACGAAACGACACATGCAAATACTTCTATTTTCACAGCGCTCGCCCTCAGCTGCTGCAGCCGCTGTGGCGATATTGATCCATTAGCAAAAGCACTTGGAAGGCTATCATATGAGAATGAGATACCCGTCGCTGGCTCTCATTCAGATAACCGCGGCAGCAATAATTCTCGGCGCGCTTTATGGGTAGACAGAGGGCACTTTTATAAGGGCGCCGCCCGCTGTCAGCAGCCTGCCAAAGGGGAGTGTATACGCTTCCATAAACGTCTTCATATATTCTTACTTTTTATGATGGGGATCAGGCGCAAACACTTCTGAACACACCGAGATAAGGGGGGGCGAGCATGAGAAGGCATTAGACATTCGCGCCGCACTGTAGAGGAGGCTTGGACGACCGAGGCCGGCACGGACAGGAGATTGTCTGGAGGTCCGAGCGGGATACTCTGCACAGCTGTAATCATCTCTTACTCTCTCTTGCATTTTCATTGGCTCCATGTTTCTTTCAACAGCATTTCCCTCGGCCCATTTCATTTTTTATCTGGGCTCATTTTGTATTCTCTCTATTTTTCAGTCTCTTGCTATCCGTTCAATTCTCTCTCCTTCTGTTTTTTTTTTTTTTTCCTTTTTGCCTCCGTCTACCTGTGTGTATCCTCAGCTCTCATCTCACCTCCCCAGACAGGATGCTGCGGCGGCTGGAGAGAACATTGTGTCACCGAAAAGGTCAAAGGTTCAATCTGTCCAGCTGGACCTCTGTCCGCTTCCTCGGTGTGAGTCACTCCGGATTGAAATATCAGCTAAAAGCCTGAAGAGTATAGTTTTGTAAAGTAAGATGTGTGGCAGAAGTGCCGGCCTCACCTCTGGCACTGGAGGGGGCTGAGCTGGTGACGTTGGGCGAGGCAGAATGGTTGGAGCTGAGGCTCGAGGTAGACGGACTGGGCTGCAGGTGGGAAACACATCATCATTACCACATCGTCATATCAGCATTTATACAGTCTAAATAACACAGGTTGGTCTGATACTGAATGTGCTTTGCTATGATTTTGCTAAGTAGAAAGCTGTTCATGTATTTCTAGTCGGGTACTTTGTTTTTTAAGCTTCTTGTCTGTAACATTTACCATTTTTTTTCCAAAGATGTTTTAGCAAAGTACAAGTTTTGTGCGAGAAAACAGCAGATTATGTGTTTATAATGTGTGCTGGCAATTTTAAAAAACAGTGGTCATTTAAAAAACAATACCAGATTGTAAAAATAAACCCAGCACAATGTTCGGCTGGATACAACTGAAAGCATAAACACTGGACGTGTCAGATCAGGACCGCACCAGGAGCGTGCTCATTATTTTCTTCAACGTTCATGTGGTTGTGCGGCGGGAATTAGTCCTCCTGCATCACAACGTACTGGCAGAGTTCTACTGTAATGTTCTCAGGTGTCCAAGCGAGAACATCTAGCTGAACGACCTGAACTGTGGCGTGATGGAACGTGGGTTCTGGAATGCGTCGTGCGTTCCAATATAAGCCTGAAGTTCAAGTTTTTCAGCCTCAACTACAGGCACAAATTTTAAACAATTTTCCTAACTGATATTCGGTTCTAATTCAAGTCAATTAATCGCTAAAACAAATGAATTAAAGTGGACTATATTACTCCATATGCACGTAGTGCTGTTTTTAACCACGGATACACAACATTTACCGTAACCCCAGCTTTGTTTATGTTAACCATTCAGATGAAGTAGTAGTAGCCTTTAAGCTGTTTTATAATCATGAGGATGGAAGTCATTAACCACCACACAAGTCTCTGTCATGGTGGCCAGTTGCTAGCTAAACTCCCACAATGCTCTTTGCTTGCTTGCCTGCAGTTCAAGTGACCCCCCACTAGGGTAGCTTTAGTATTAAACACAGCAAACAAACTGTTGTCTTCAGTCCCATTAATTAATATGAGTCTCCACCTGGTGGAGCAGCCAGGTACTACAGCTCATGTACAATACATTTTCTGTCCTCTCTCTCGTCTGTTATTGGTTAATACGTGATTAATTGGTTAAATTATTAACTGTAATTAATTGACCATTACTGTAATTTCCAGACTATAGGCCGCTACTTTTTTCACATGGTTTGAACACTGCAACTTAAACAATGATGCGGCTAATTTATGGATTTTTAAGATTTCTACGAATTTGCCTCGAGATGAAAGTGACGTTGAGAGAGACAACAAAAGAGAGATTGAGGAAGTGTGTGACGAAGTAATTCTGAGGCTGTTCAATTCCAACACTGAAGAAGACGACTTTAGTGGTTTTAGTGCTCAGGAGGAAGATGAAGACAGCGATCAATGACTTTTCCTGGTAGGCTACTGTATTTTTTATTTTTTTAACCAGTCGTGTTAAAGGCACTGTTTGGAAAGAAGCATCTACGGTACGTATTTGTGTATGTTACCGGTATATATTTAGTTAAAAGTTTAAAAAATCTTTCTGTGTAAATATCTCATGTTACAACGTGGACACCTGTAGACAAGTGCGGCCTATATATGTACAATTCTTTTTTCTTTTTAAAGTTAGTGGGTGTTTATATTCAGGTGTGCTCAATAGTCCGAAAATTACGGTATCTCTAGCTGCAGCATCACAAATGTCACTCCTCACCTGCCCTACTTGCCAGATTTGGCTCCCTGTAGCTTCATCTTCTTCCCAATAATGAAATTCAAGTTGAAGGGTCGCAGCTTTGACACAGTTTAGGAGATTCAGCGCTTTTTGCAGATGGTGCCGGATATATTTACAAAACTGAACTTTCAGGGAGCATTACATGTGCTGCAGAAATGCTTACGGCGCTGCATCGCTGCACTACTTCGATAAGGACGGAGGCCAAATTTGATTCAGGTATGGTTTTTGATTTTGGGTTGCACCTTGTACGTATCCGTATTTTAATGCACTTCATACATTTTATATAATAATCATCTTCACAGTCACCTTTCAGTAAATTGTGCTTGATCGAAAAAAAAAAAACGTATGATGTTCAAAGCTAATTCTGTAATGGGTTCAGTCAGATCCCTGACGACAGCTTTTTTCCTCTCATGTTTTTCTCTTCTCCCTGTTACTCCAGACCTGCCAGGTGCGGCAGACAGCTTGCCAGGAGTTGTCGGCAGCTTTCTGAATTGGCCAAATCTAGTTTAGATTAGACTCCAGCGGGCTCCCTGGACGGACCACACAAAGCACTGTGTCCTCATTTGATATAATCATGACAATTTGCTTGGCTGGACAACGCTCCAAACAAGCAAGAGAGGAAGATAGGTAGGAAAGGGTCAGAGGAGAAGAGAAATGAGGGTCGAACAGAGTGAGAGTGGATTAAAAAGTATTGCAAGTGAAATCCGTCGGGAGCAGGAGGGCAAATGTTGGGAGGTGGACTCAATCCACTACCTTAAAAGCTTTTGCATGGGTGTGTGGGAAGGCACAAGAGGCTGCATGTATGTGTGTATTACAGAGAGGCTACCTGCATGTTGAAGACTTCATCCGAGCTCTCCGATTGCCCTGTGATGTTACTGACTTCGTTGGAGGCTTGCGATGACAGAGAGGACGAGGAGTAACGGTTCACGGCAGGGTAGCTGAGGAGGCTAAGAGAGACAGAGAGGGATGGTTGTTGTGGTTTTCAATAAAGGGATTGAGTTTTTATGTTTCATTAGCTTTGAGAGGTCTCACTCACCGAATATCCAGTGTGAGCAGCGGCAAGGCCAATAAAAAAGGCAGACAGGCAGGGAACAAAGACAAACAGATAGACAGAAAATGTCAGATGAGAAGCAGATAACTGATGCACCAATCAGAGCGTTTCAGCGAGCTGCAAAGAGGCAAAAGCGTTAAAAAAAAATAAAGTTTTTGTGTTGCACAACAGAGCACAAAAAAAAAAAAAAGAAATCAAAACTCAACACGCAAAAACGTGAAATGTCACTGGGAGACTGAGGTGATGTGTGCGTCTCCATCTTTCTGTGTGGCTGCTGTGTCCCGCGGGATCAGACTGTGGCGGCTGAATGTCGCAGGTAGACAGAGTGGCAGGGTCACTGAACACATCAAAACACACACACACTCGTGCACACGGTCCGCCTGCTGGCCCAACAGCAGCCACACAGAAATATCCCTGTGGGTGCGAGCTGGCCGTCTCCACCTATTGTGTGCCCACGTCGTGCCACGCCGGTAAAGAACTGAGGGAGGAAGGAGAGGAGGAAAAGGCACCGAGCGTGGCGAGGTGACGTGGAGACACAAAAAGTAAAAGAAAAAAGAAAAAAAAGTAAGACGAGGACAAAGGTCTGCAGAGAAGGGCGGCACATCAAGAGAAAGTAAAGGACGGTGACACAATGCGAAGGAGAAATTTTAAATACTCCTTAAAATGAAGCTTTTTAGGTGGTTTTTGGATCTTTAACACAATAAAATACAAACCCAAGACCTTTTATTCTTCCCTGTCGGTTCAGGTGAAAGCTAAACATGCACAGAAATAAAAATGAAAGCAAAGAAACAAAGAAAAACCGTCATCACCTCCGCCTGGTGACACTTCTGCCGCCGTCTGGGCTAATGATGCTGGGCACGGAGTTCCTGCATGTACGTGGGCTGCCGTTGGTGAAGTGCACTGGGCTTGCGCGCACATATGCCGGAAACTCCTGGGGTTTCAGAATTGGGGAGAAGAGGAAGTGCACGTCATTCAACGCTTCTTCGTGCCAGCGTGAAATATGTAAATAAAGTACACAGTGTGCAGATGATGGAAGTTTGTTTAATGAGGGGTGGCTTCTCTCCTTCTGAGGACTGAAGGGGTCATTTACTCGGAAGCTTAAACACAGCAGTCGCTTTCTGTTGTCACATACAGCGCGAGCTTCCATGCCGACTTGAAGTTTGTGATTCGAGTGAAAGCGGCGCAACACGAGCAATAACTAAATTATCGTCTGTTTAACGTGATGTTCAAATCCATCGCTGATTCACAAATGCTTTCTTAAAGATGCACTGAGATGACAGTCACAAAAAGAGTTACCTGTATGCCCAGACTGGATTTCATGAGATGAAACTGGTCCACTAACTTCTTGTGGAGAGGTCTCATGTCTTGAGGAACAAACTTCTCGTGCACAGCGAGGCCATACTCCAGTATGTGTGCCTGCGTAACAAAAAAAAAAAACCCCAACAAAAGAGTTTTTAAATTCTGTTTTATCTGTGAAAATTGTAAAATATGTACTTCAACATCACTACTCTTGTCCAGTGCCCACGTTCTGAGCCAAACGAGTCCTCGTTTTATAAAATCCGTTGTAATTCTGCCACTCTGAATTTCAAACCATCTATTATGCAACCCTCCTCTTCATCTCTACCTCAGTTGTCCAGGGAGTCTTCCTCTGACTCACCAGATGCAGATTTTTTTGGGTATAAGTTTGCCATTTCCATTACAAATTTCTTAAAGCTTCGTGCTCCTCTTCTGTGTGCTATCGTTTTCAAAATCCCCATGACTACGGGAAATAACAACCTCCTACCCAGCAACCTACTCACTGATGATGTGAAGCTTTAAAGATGATTTGGATCTTGCAAAAAAAAAAGTAAGCCTGCTTTGTTGTTTTGGTGCAGTAGCCATGTTAATCCTTTCCTCTGATTATTTTGCAGGGGGCACTGTTGCTGCACCCCGGGCTTAGCAAGATGATTCTTATTAGTTGGAAAAGCAAAGAAGTGTTTTCTTCCTATAGCAGAAGTATTATACAGTTTTTTTTCACCACTACAGGCAAGATCGTGTCCTTATTTCCTTCCATTATCTCTGACTCCACCATCAAAACACTCCTGGTTTGCAGGTGTCTACAACAAATGTTGCCCTTTACTTCCAAATTATCCTTCTTATTGAACTGTGATATCATCTATTATGACACTCTGAGTCTCCTGCAGCTATGTTTTTTTTGTTTGTTTGTTTGTTTTTACAATATGCTTCAACAATAACTACTTGCGAATGCAATGTGATAAGTTAGATATAAATTATGGATCATATCAGCAATATCAAGTCCATGTCACCTGATATGGGAACTAAAGCCAGAATGATAAATCGTCTGGGCTCACGCACTGGCCAATATTAGTTTATCTTAGATATTAGTAAAAGCTGATGATAAGGGAAAACAAGCTGAGGTAGAGAAATTGATGTTGTTCCCATACACATAAAAAATTAACTCTCTCAATCCCAAAACCCATGAGCAGGTTTGAAAGACAAGTTGTTGTTTTTCTTTTTACATTGACAACCATTTTATCAGAGCCACAACCTTATTCTTAACTTTTAAATGGTCACCGAACTAATCTTGTGTGACATTCTTGGAGCCAAATCTAAGTTTAAAATGATGATATTTAATCAAAATCACATTATTCTGCGCATTTCATTTGAAAAATTGCCAAAAACGACATCAAACTGCGTCGTGAAGCGTGTAAACAAGTGTGGCTGCAGCAACAAACATATTGGTATCGGTTGATATCGGAATTGGAAATTGAGAGTTGGACAATATCGGCATATTGGATATTGGCAAAAAAGCCAACATCTGACATCTCTTGAGACAAACATACAAAAAATATGAGTAGTAAAATGTGCATAGTATGAAGAGCCCACATTTCTTTTCAGTATTGGTAAAACCTATATGTTTTTCAGATTTTTTTGGAAATTCTGGAAAATAAACAATCAGAGAAATTCAACTTTTGTTTTTTCTTTGTTATGATTTATGACATTACAACTGTGTCATACAGCACAAAGGACACTTTTGAGTTCTCTCTACCTTTCACCTTGGTTGTACTGTTTCCGTACAGGTGCAGGACTTTATGTTGCAGCAAAAATGAGCCCACAGTGAGTAAAAAAAAAAGGTGACAAATACAAAAATACCCAGAAACTTCTCGGGGGTTTAGAGTTAGAGAGTTAAAAATTTAAAAGATGATTTTGCCATGCCTTTGCATTTAAAACACCTCTCACTTCTAACCTGTTCAAACATGAGCTCTCTCAGTCGCCCGATCTTCTCGCCGTCCTCTGGGTGATTCATAATGTAGTCCTTCACGAAAAAGGCCTGCATGAAGACAAAATGCAGAACATCTGTTATGCATACACCGGGAGCCGAGGCAGTGGGCTTTCTGCACTGCAGTGCTACCTGAATCCCAGCTGGCCTGACACAGTGAATTAGTGTCCACACATTTATTTGCTAAATCCTTAAAAAATATGCAGAAAAACTGAGCAAATAGACAAACAGAGTAAACTAACATCCCACTCAAATGGGGTGTAATAGTCCTGTCTGGGTATTTTTTGTGTTGTGATATTAATATCAAGTTCAGGGACCAGGATGAAAAACACATATTGGCTAAAAATAGAAAAACACTGCGCCAAATGGATGTTAGCGAAATCAAAAGGCTGATTTTACTTTGATTTAGGAGCCAATTTGGTCTCAGATTTTAAAAAAGGCTCTTTTCATATCACTTTCATTCATGTCACCGCTTCCTGTTACAGATCATGTCGCTTTAGAAACACCATACTTCTTGATTACGGCTCACAGACTGCGCTTTCTATTCACTTTCCCAGACATTTCCATCAAAAAACGGCGACTCAAAGGAGAAACAGATAAGATGAAAAAATGCCCTGATCTGCTTTGAATGACGATAACTGTTTCTGTCACATCCATACATTAAAAGCCAGGTCCTGGCTCTTTACAACGCCGTCAACACTTGTGATGTGTCAACAGATTATGGTAAATCCTTTTCAATCTGCATCAGCCTACACAAAAGAGGAGAGAGGATGAACCGATGAGCGGCCCGGTTTGCAATCTAGCTTTCAAATCAAGGGAGGAAACACACACACACACGTATATTACAAGAAAAAAAAAAAGGTAAAGGGGGAGTTCACAAAAAGAGATCAACATGCTTCCGCTCTCAAGGACACAGCTGTCTATCAGCAAAGAGACCGTAAAAGAGAAAAGATGCTCAAGGCTGCTTCAAATATGTTTGCTCACAATCACAGATCCCCATCAAAGAAAGCATGCAGGCTATAAATCCTCAATAAAGTCTGACAAACATCTTGAGATAGTAATCTTTATCAACACAGTGTATATACGTTCCTCTCGTCTTAAACTGTGCAGCACAGATGGACGATTTTAAACACGTCGTTGCATAAACATTATTTTACTCCTTATAGCCAAATATGCACCAGTCTTATGGTAGAAATTTAAAAAAAACAAAAAGAGAGAGAAGCACTGTGTTTCACCATCCTAGAACATACTGGGGGAAAAAAATGGCGAAAATAATCAATAATCTACCACAAATTATGGAAATTTCTCGTCGGGTTGCGGGGAGTGGGACCTCGCCGTGGAGTGGCTCGGTTAATCATTAGAAAAGTCCAATTAGAGATGGAACGCTGAGGGGAGGAGGAAAATAAATCAGACAGCATTCCCCCTCAAGGGTTTCAACTCAAACCAAAGCAATAAATCTGAATATTAATAATGACAATTTCTCCTTCATTTGTAGCTCAGCAAACCTCCACAGCTGTCAATCGGCATTACACGGGCAAATTAATAGATTTATAGGAGCAGTCCGTGGGGTACCGCGGTGTGATATATTCTGCGGTGAAAAATGAGCGTTGTTAGCGATGTGTTTGCGGAGGGGAAAAAAAAAAAAAACAGTCCCGTCTGTGTCCGGCTCGGGCAAAGTTATCGAAATATGTGTCACTTTCTGTTGTGTATGACGTTGAAAATACAAATTACAAATGATTCAAAGCAGTAGGTGGTCAATTTACACCAGCAGGAATGCTATTTATATGCATAGAAATATACACATGATGCTGCAAACAGTGTGTGAAAGCAAAGGCCTCTGGAAGTGTTTTAGAAGCTTTCACTTTCCAGCTAAATGAAGGCAGAATGGGGGAAAGCGCTTCACTGATGCTCACCTTTGTAGCTTTATCAGTCGTTTACAAATCTTAATAGGCTACTTCTGCACACAGACATGTTCTTCACCCGCATACGTACAGTGTATGTCCCCGAATCACACTCACATGCGAGTGGCCCCACATGCATGCCGGCTGCGGTTGCTATGCAACACAGAGCAAGTCGCCGAGTCCGCTCAGTTTTGTTGAGGGTGAAAACCAGTTTCTCGGGTAGATTTTTAGCTGTCTTTTTCAATCGCACTCCGCATGGTTAACAAATTAGACTGTACTGTCATCCTGCGATTGTCTCCTCTCCAGGAGCAGGAGATGAAAAATGTTTGTGAGTGAGGCTCCGGTCGTCTCCGCCGATCTGCACATCTGCCTGTTACCACTTCAGTTTATCACACAGCAGCAGCATAAACACTCCCACCTCATTCATTTAGCCGTTATTAGCCATCCATCTCTCCCCACCTCCCTTCCTCTCGCTGCCATTTTTCTGACCCGACCTCTCTTTCTCCCCACATCCATCCTTCCATCCATTGAGTGAAGCCTGCCATCCATCCACCCCGTTCCTACATCACGCCATCCATCTCATTTTCCCGCTTCCAGCCGCCCCTTGCTCGCTCTCTCTCCGCTCGTCTATCCACTCGCTCAAACCTTCACCCAGCCATTCATGCGCCCATCCATCCATCTGTTCATGCGCTCCTCCCTCCGCAAAACGCTCCCTGTCCATACATCTCCCCCGCTTAAACCCACCTTCATGCATCATTAGGCAATCCATATGTCACTGCCTCCCGCTCCTGCCTCGGTCTCTAAAACCCTCCAACCTTATCCTCCAGTCGGCCCATCCATACCTCTTGGTAGCGAGCGAGCCCCCCGTTGACAGCGGCGTCGATGACCCCGTTGAGGCACATGGTGAGGGGGTTGATGTTCTGCATCTGCCGGCTCTGACACTGGGTGATCAATGTGCGTAATTGTAAGTTCTTGTTCTCGATCACCTCGATGGCGTTCTCCAGCGGGCTCACCTCCACCTGCGAACGGAGAGTTGGGAGAAAGACTTTATGGATTTTCTCATTCGGCTCTAAAGGGAGCTCTCCAAAGTCGGAGAGCTGCAGTAGGTTATCTCAGTTTGGGCTTGGAGATCACACGTTGATATTAAAAAAAAAGTCTGTGTTAAACGGTGGCAATTTAACAAGGCGGGCTTTTTCAAGAGAGTATTGTAATAAAAAAAAAATGCTATTGAGCTGCATTACAGCAAAGGATCCAGCAGTTTAGACCATATTAAGGTCTACAAATCTTGGATTTCTGCCTGTGATGATTTCATTTTCACTATTTTTAAAATGTATCTCTAACAGATTTCTCAACTTTGTTAAAGTGCAACGCTAAACCGCCGGCTATCACTCCAAAACCATCGATTCTGAATTTCCTCCTGAAAATACAAATGAATCTTGCAAGGAACCTCAAAAAGGGCACATATTTTCATTTTAATAAATTACACCTAGTCTAGTTTTCTGGAAAACGCCGTAACATTTACACACTTCCACCTTGAGACCTGAATCAAAAATCGCTAAATATTTCAAAAGGTAGAGATGTTATTATGGAGGAAAAAATTCCTTCTTGGAATTACCTGATGTTTTTTTTTAAGGTGCAAAATGGAGCTAGTGGAATAAAGAAGCTATAAACGCTAAAACTACCACGCCATCAATCACCGTTTAAGCTCATATAAAGAACTTTTTAGCTGCAGCTTATTCACACATCCAGCCGACTTTGAGCAATATTAGCATTCATGTGGAATTGAGTTTCTGTCTACTTGACATCCAATATTTACTCTGTTTTTGGTCCCTAGCAATTCCTGAGGGAAATATCAGCCTGTTTAGCAGCTAAATGCTCCACTATGTTCACCAATGAGTGTGCTGATGTGCTGTTTGATGCCAGGAGGAGGGTTTTTTTTATTTATTTTAGAGCCTTTTCACTGAAAACTGCTGTCTTTTCTTGTCTGCTGTGAGAGTGAACTAAAATAGGGGAGTTGTGGGCCGTAAAATATCTAAATAATTAACAGATTGATGCTAAAACGCTCCACAGAGTTGAGGGTGATAATTATCTTTGGATTTATCACAACAACTGCATACATGTAGCAAACCGTTAATGCGAAAACAACTGCAGCACACTGGAAGGACAACTACGAGTGTATTAATTCACACATAATTAATATCAGGTCAGTTTTGCACATCCTCATGCATGCACAACAAACGCTCTTCCCTTCATTCTGCATTTCTTATGCGCTCTCTTTCTGTCTCACACAAAGCTTAATCCTTTTGCTAATAGAGCTTTTGCCAGTTTGGTATTTTATATGCTATTGCACAGCATAACCATCATGGAGCAACACTGGCTTTACAATCCACAATTTCACACCACGCTCAGCTGCTGTGAACTGAAAAATAAGCGCTTAGACCATCAGAGACAGACACTGTGTTATGTTTTGCATACGCTGGACAAAACAGCATTCGAAATCCACCCACTTCTTACAGACCTGAATGAGAAGATCCGAGACAAAAAGCTTTTTTAGAGGATTTACATGTCACACAGTGTATCAAATATGACATGTGATTCTAGGCCAACAGATACAACACGGTATTGGAAAGAAAAATGTTCCCAATACAGAAATCCATTCTAAAAACTGGACATGTTTGCGATCAAAGCAAAGCAATCAGATTTTTAGCACGACATCCAATCTATCCAATGGAGGAAATTAAAGGTCCAATAGCCCCGAACCTATGACCTCGGTCATTATTGTTGTTCAGCGTAATGACTCGGATCAATACTCAGGTATTGGCTGGCTGTACTCTAAATTGCAACCTGCAAAATGAAAGTGTATTATGGAGTCCCTTGCGAGAGATGAATGCGTGCTGTATTTATGTCGTCATGAGAGGCGGTCGCACTCACCAGCTCCCTCTTCTCCACCTCGAACCAGCGGGAGATGCCGGGCAGACTCTGGACCAGAGTCAGAGTCGTCCTCTCCACCCACAGACTCTGCATCAACACACAGAAAGGAAATCGTGAGAATAAGCTCATTGTTGTACATTCTTTTAAAAAAAAATCCATAACTACTTATGCCTGACGCACGCGTACACTCTGAATCACTGGCAAACTGCACACAATTTAATCACGAGTTTGAGAAAACATACGCACACCTACAGCCAAACACCCACTTTTAGGCGGAGGTCAGATGTCATGTCTTATATTTCATATCATCATTCATGTTCCACCACTTACGCTGTCAGCCAGCATGCTTGTCAATATGCCAACATCCCACAAGGTCACTCTGACAGCACGTAAACTATGGAAACTCTAGCGTTCACTGCAGGCTATTATCATAATAGAGTCGCACTATAGCTGAGCACCGACAACATTGTTCAAACTATGTTATAAACATGTCAAGAAGCCAAAGGATGGAAAGCTCTTAAATACTATTTTTCTTGTTCTGCATGTTTACTATTGACATAAAAACAAAAACCTCAAACTTCACAAAGGTGAGGAGTTACTGCTTTTATGATAAAGATGCTACACTGTGCTGTGTTTTTTCACAAATTCTTGTCATTTTATAGATTAACGGCTCCATCGAGTCGTCCAAGATCTGGTTTCTTTATTTGTCCACTACTGTTTGCAAGTCTGCAGCACGGATGCTCAGCTCGCTTTGCCTGAGGGTCATTTGTTGCAGAATAACAGGAGGCCAGGGGCCGCCTAATAAACAAACAGTAATATTTATCAGAAGAGATGAATAAACATTAAACGGCCTATATCTCATCTTTCTTTAAAGTTATTCATTTCTAATTAACTGAATAACACCCAAGGGACAAACATTTAGGATAGAAACAAACACAACAAACCAAAAATGTTAATTATTTTAATGCTAATTGCTAATATTGGTATTCTAACATATTCACAATG